TTGTCAGTGTTCTCATTGTGGTGAGTAAGGTGTACAGCGGATGAGAGGAAATGTGCTCCTTTCAGGTTGCTTCAAGTCCAGTTTTTTTAACAAACTAAGGTCAATTTTCGAAGAAGAGATTCTAAAATGTAATCTGAAGGAAGAAGCCAAGGGGCTGAGAGTCAGCTGGGCTCTAGTATCAGGAAATGTGTGAAAAAAAGAAACTTAGAAGTCCCTAATGAATTGCCAGAAGACATAAAGCTCAGTTTCAGATATATCTGGAATAGAACACATAGTCATGCAATAGCTCAGCCAGCCCTTGGAAACAAATTTATTTTATGTATTCCCCTGCAATGGGAGGAAAAGGAAACACTATGAGGATCCCAGTGGTACAGCATGGTCGGATCCATTGAGGAAATCCCTAAAAAGTTAGGCATCAAAGTGTAGATAGTTAAGATGAGCTAGAAGGGAAGCAAATGTGCACTTGCCTGGGTGAACTTGCTCATCCACTGATCTTTGATTTGGCTTCTCTCATACAACATCCTTCTAACTGTTAGAAGGATTACAAGTAGCCAGCATACATCTTCCCAAATCATCAGTTTAGTGGTATCTGCATAGTGACCAACAGTATGACAGGCTAGACCACTGGCATCTAAGATCACTTGTAATTCTAACGTTCAGTCCTGTGGGCATTCAGGGTATTAGAATGCTTTTATTCAGATGAGTAACCAGTACTGAGTCACATCTTGTCACTCCATTTCTGTCTATGCTCCCACTTGTGAAATGAGTGTTGATTAAGTAGTGGCAATTCAGCGATTTGAACTCTCATTATTCAGATTTTTTTTTTATGTGCGTGTGGTGCTGGGGATGGAACCCAGGGCCTCATACACATAGCTTTAACAATGAGGTACATCATAGCCCTTGTCACAGACAAGAGTCTCGCTGTGTAGCTGGGGCTCACCTTGAACTCCCTATATAACTCAGGCTATCCTAGAACTTGAGATCCTCCTGCCTCTGTCTCCCAAGTTCTGGGATTACAGATGTGTGGCAACATGCCTCACTTTCATTTACATTTTGTACTTGGGATTCTTGGATAAAAAGTTGAGTAGTTTTTCGAAACCATGGTTCAAGAAATAAAGGATAATTTCTTAATGCCTCCAGTTTCTGTGTCCAAAAATTCATTCTTAAATGTTAAAAATATTTATTAGTTATGATTAATTATTGTTTTGTAGATCTTTTAATCTTGATTTTGAAAAGGTCATGTTTCAAGTGGTAGAATGCTTGCCTAGCAAGGGCAAAGCTCTGAGTTCAAATCCCAGTACTGCCAAAAGAAAAAGAATCTTTTAATCTTTGTTTATAAAAGAAATAAATCAAATAAATTCTAATATGCATATTTTTTGTTGTTGTTTTGAGATAGGGCCTGGAACTATATTTGTAGTTCAGGCTGACCTTGAACTCTCTTTCCCTCCTTGTCTCAACCTCCTGAGTGCTAGGATTATAAGCATGTACCACCATACTGGGCTTTTTTGGTCTTTTGGGGTTTTTTTGGGGGGGCAGTACTGGGGTTTGAACTCAGGGCCTTCACCTTGAGCCACTCCACCAGCCCTTTTTTTGTGGTGGGTATTTTTGAGATAGGGTCTTGTGACCTATTTGCCCAGACTGGCTTTGAACCTCGATCCTCCTGATCTTGCCTCCTGAGTAGCTAAGATTGCAGGTGTGAGCCACCAGTGCCCGGCCACACTGGGCTTTATATAGTTAAACTTTTTCTAAAATCAATTTTTCCTTCTTCCTCACTTTTACTTGATATTATAGACTTATACTATATATGTTTTTCTAAAATTTTATGTAGTCTTATAAGATATAAACTATATAGGTTTCTGTAATGTATATATTGAAT